TCAAACTTCCTTTATAACCTCCTTTAGCTTAGGAACCACTGGACCTCCCTAACCAAAAGGAGAGGAGAAAATGCTGCCCCACAATGCCTTGCATTTGCCGTCACACAACAGTCGGCCATTCACGGAAACAAGCGATTATGACGGAGAAATGATATCATGAAAGTTACGGTGCTTATTAAGCATTTCAAAACGTATGTGGTAAGTTGCCAAAGTGCTTTGTTTTGAACGTTCATCAGTATTATAATCAAAAAGAGAAATATGAACGTTAGTTTTTACTGAAATTGATCAAATAAAGTCAACATTTCACTGAACTGTGTGGGGTTTGTTCAACTTTTAAAAGATGTTTGAATGATGTACACAGTGATAGGTGTTAAGGACTAACGTTTATAATAAATACATTTGTATTGATTTTAAGATCTTTTCATCCAATCATACGTATTGGGATCATTTGTATTAATGTGGACCGGAGGGAGAGGGTGACGAGCAGAAGTTTCACTTTTTTATTTCAATTCCAACTTTGGTCATGAAGAATATGTTTCTCTGTTGTCCACGTTCATAAAGCATAAAGCAACAGCATCAGAGCACGGTGCAGAGTCTCTAGATGAGTCCCTCCTTCTTATTAAACATCCATGTTGTAGTCCGCTGTATAGAAAACTGTAGTTTCCATAGTTTCCCCACAGCAGCAGACGCACACAATGACGTCCGCTGGCGCATTATAAACACGTGGGATAGTGAAAGAGCAGTCGATTCTCTAAAGTAGCGCAGTCTCTTCTCCTAAGTCCTTTTGAATTCTCCTATCCACTATCCCTTAACCCCGTGACCTTTCACTCAGAGGTCAAGGGATAGACGATAGGGATAGACGATAGGAGCAGATTTTTGGATTATCCGACCGCAACCTGTGAGTTTCACAGCTCCGCCCTCCCCCCAGAGACTCACCTGGGTGAGTTTCAAAGCTCCGCCCTCCCCCCAGAGACTCACCTGTGTGAGTTTCACAGCTCCGCCCCCCCCCAAGAGACTCACCTGTGTGAGTTTCACAGCTTCGCCCTCCCCCCAGAGACTCACCTGTGTGAGTTTCACAGCTTCGCCCTCCCCCCAGAGACTCACCTGGGTGAGTTTCACAGCTTCGCCCTCCCCCATGTTGCTCAGGTCGGCCTCCTCCTGGAACACCTGAGTGATGTTGAGAGTCTGCAGGACGTCACGCAGAGAGTAAGAGCGTTCCAACAGGAAGCGAGGAAGCTGCACCTCCAACTTCCTGTTTCGGAGCAAAACATAAACACAAAACTAAAATAAATCACGTCAAGAACGAGGATGGAAGGAATGAAGGAGTTAGGAGGTAGGACATGAGGGTATAGGAGATAAGGGGTAGGAGGTAAGGGGTCAGGAGGTAAGAGGTAAGGGGTCAGGAGGTAGGAGATGAGGGAATAGGAGATGAGGGTATAGGAGGTAAGGGGTCAGGAGGCCTCACGTCTTCTTCAGCTGTCTGATCCAGGTCTGGATCTGGTCTCCGGTCACTGCCTCCTCCACTGAAGTGATGTCCACGTCTTCATCGGGCAGGACCACCAACATGGCCGCCCCGCCGGCCATCGGCAGCTTCAGGATGCCAGCCTTCAGCCCGAGGTCGTAGGCCAGGAAGAACTTATCTGCCCGGAACATCATGGGAACCATCACCACGCGGTACTTGTTCACGTAGAACCGCTCGTCCTGGGTGAGGGACTCGTTAAAGGACGGACTGAACGTAACTGCAACAGACAAAAAACTGTATTTATACAACAAGACAAACATATAAACAACACAATCCTCAATACTTTAATAAACTGGTATCGGAGGTAACTCTGAAACTGGTATCAGGGGGTAACTCTGAAACTGGTATCAGGGGGTTACTCTGAAACTGGTATCGGAGGTAACTCTGAAACTGGTATCAGGGGGTTACTCTGAAACTGGTATCAGGGGGTAACTCTGAAACTGGTATCAGGGGGTAACTCTGAAACTGGTATCAGGGGGTAACTCTGAAACTGGTATCGGAGGTAACTCTGAAACTGGTATCAGGGGGTAACTCTGAAACTGGTATCAGGGGGTAACTCTGAAACTGGTATCAGGGGGTAACTCTGAAACTGGTATCGGAGGTAACTCTGAAACTGGTATCAGGGGGTAACTCTGAAACTGGTATCGGAGGTAACTCTGAAACTGGTATCGGAGGTAACTCCTTAAACTGGTATCGGAGGTAACTCTGAAACTGGTATCAGGGGGTAACTCTGAAATTGGTATCGGAGGTAAGTCTGAAACTGGTATCAGGTGGTAACTCTGAAACTGGTATCGGAGGTAACTCTGAAACTGGTATCGGAGGTAACTCTGAAACTGGTATCAGGGGGTAACTCTGAAACTGGTATCGGAGGTAACTCTGAAACTGGTATCGGAGGTAACTCTGAAACTGGTATCAGGGGGTAACTCTGAAACTGGTATCGGAGGTAACTCTGAAACTTACCCTGGTAAGCAGCAGCAGTGGCAATCAGCAGCTGGGTCTGGGGGTCCAAGTCGGTCACCAGCTCCCTGACGGTGTCTCCGGTCCATTCCTGAGCCAACAGGTTGATGGTGCTGGCCGCTTCCAATGGTGACGTGTAGGCCAGACTCTGAGCGTTCCCTCCATACTTGGTCTGAACCAGGTCCAGGAAGGACGAGGACACCTGGAGGCCTTGTCTGGGGAGGAGGGCCGTGCCCTGCCTCAGGTTCTTGTTAAGGCTGGCATCCTCCACCGCGCTCCTGAGACTCTGGAACAGGTCTGAGGACAGATTCTGGATTACTGACCATCATGAGGTCTCAGAGACTGACTGACGGTACTCATCATGTGAGCCGAAACCAGTTTCCAACGGCTTCATTTTACATTTCCTACTT